GGAAATCGATTTTATCCCAAATGCCCAAATCAATTGGCCCTCCAACCTATTGCGACTAACCCAAACATAAAGTTGGGAAGTGTATATTAAGTGTAATTAGGGAAAAAGGGTATATACTTGTTGGGAAGTGTATACTAAGTGTAATTAGGATAAAGGATATATTAGTAATATTCCCTCCTTTGTAATTAACCATGCTTCCTTTTATTATTCATGTAAAACTATATATATGGCTCCAATATTCAATGAAATACACCACATTTTATTATTTCGAACGGTATGAAAGCTACAGGAAAAGATATCCTAACTATTCCAAAACTCTAAATCAGCCTTCATTCCTGAAAATAGAGAAAACCCTAAATGGGGCCAGCCCTCATAGCCAGCTACTATCATCAATACCGGTGTTCATCTAGCCACCAACCTACAGCCACTGTCACCTGCAGCCACTGCTACCTGCAGCTGCACACACCAACAGCAAGTCTCAGCCAAGTCTGCCACCCAGGCAAGCCTGCCACCAAGGCCAATCTACAAACCAGCAGCATGCCTCCAACCGTTCACCTGTCAGTCACGCACCCCCAGCTGCACGCTACCCACCTAGCCACTGCATCTACCTACCAGCTGCATGTCCCTCCAGTCATGATTCAGTCCAGCCACCAGTCCAGCCCATAATCCCTGGTTTTCTTAATAATCAGCCTTAATTATCCTAGAAAGCTTTAGGTCATCACGAAGGTTAACGCTTCAAGTCACAGGCAAGAGTCGCCACATGGTAAATTCACAACAACCCAGTGGAGAATTTCAACCAATTCGGATGGCATATTGCATGAATGGGAAGAATGACTTGAATTGGTCACAATTGATTCTAACAATCCTCAAAAGAAACCAGAAACTTAGCCACATTCTGGGCATCAGATCTAAACCGGGAGATCCACAGTTGATGCCTGGGATCAGGAAGATTCAATGGTAATGTTTTGGCTATGAAATTCAAAATCACCACAGATAAGCAGCACTTGCATGCTCCTTCCCACTGCTAAGGAAGTCAAGAAGCAATCAGATAAACTTATTACAAAGAAAAGATGCAAACCAGATCTACGACCTGACAATCAAAACTTGGTCTACGAAGAAAGAAAACAAATAGGGAATAAAGTATGTTAATCTATTAAAAAATTGATGGCAGAAACTAAATCAATACCATAGTCTCACTATAGATTACAGCAAAAGATGCAGCCCATCTAATGCAGTTTGTGGAGCAAGATCGCGCATACCAATTCATAACTGGTCTCAACCCAGAATTTGACCAGATAAGAATCCAAATATTGGGTAAAGAAGACATGCGTCCTAAATGAAGTTATTTCAATTGTAATTGCATAAGAAAGCAAGAGGGTAATGCTAGAACTACACCCAACTGAAGGTTCAGAAATGACAATTAAAGACCCCAAACCACGCCAATATATGAAGGAACCAAGTTACAATGAAATCCCAGCTACTGTGGGGAGTACAAGGACAATCTTTAGTGTCCCTTCTGCAAGAAACTATGGCACACCAAGGAAAGGTGTTAAAAACTTTATGAAAAAACTAATGCCTCTATCAAAAATGAAGAGTACAAGAATAATTCCTAGAAGCCTCAAGGACAGCCACATATGACCCACCTACAAGAAGAAGAATAGTCTACAGATCTTATGATTTGAAGACAGAAATTGAATGTCTGAGGACTCGATTTGGATATCTGGAAAAATTTAAAGGTACAGGTCTGTTGGCCCATTCAGGTACACTTTCTATCTCCCATAATTTAATATCTTAAGTAAAATTTTTGCATTGTTATAAATTAGAGACTTAGGAGCCAACGAACACATGACCAACTCCTCTAAATATTTTAGCATCTACACCTCATATCACAGCAATAGGAAAATCATTACTGTCAATAATTCGCTAACCATAGTAGCAGGAGTTGGAAACATAAAGCACAAGCCTCACTCTACTCTTACTAATGTACTCTATATCCCAAATTATGCATAAAGCTAATATTAGTAACTAGGTTGACCTAAGACCTCAATTGTTAAGTATTTGTTTCCTCTTCTCTTTTTGAATTTTATAACTAAAATTCAGGAGGATGATCGAACATACTGAAGCTCAGAACAGGTTACAATTCCTGGATGCATATGAGAACCTCATACTGCTATCTTTACCAGCTCCCTAAATAAGATATGATAATATCGTAGAAGATTAGAAAATCCTTCTTTCTCTATCCTTAAGGTTATGT